AGAGCAAAATCAAAATCCATATAAACACTGCCATAGTCACCTCCCCGCAGGTATCTCACCCACATCTGCCTTAGCCAGTCCAGCGTCAGGAAACAAGCCCAGTTTCTTCATCACATGTCTCTCTGCTCCATGTGGCTTCCTCAGGTCTCCTTCTGGCTCTCCATCCTGCTTCTTTCTCCCTCTTCAGATTCCTTCTCTCCTCTTTTTCTCTGCTCAGCTCCACCCTCCTTCTGGGTGGGGCAGGGAACCTGGAACTTTCCCTTTTCCTAGGAAGCACCCTGTTATAGTAACACAGCATTTAACAATATTTCACTTAAAACAGCAATGAATTACTCCCCTTTGCAATGAGGAATGCTGTCCCCCTTACTGCTAAAAATGTCACCATGATCAAGTTACTTAACCTCTGTCTTAACTTTCCTCACTTATAAAATATGTCACAGCAGTGCCCACCTCGTAACATTACCAAGACTAATTAAATGTGGCAGAATAATACCTGGATGAGGCCAAGGATTCACCAGAGACAGTGTTCTTTTTTTTTTTAAGATTATTTATTTGTGTATACAAAGCTGGGATGCAGGCCAGAGGTGCAGGGGTGGTGAGAGAATTCACCAGAAAGAGTTGGGAGCAGAGCAGGTATATCAATGAAGTACACTGCTGAGAGTCCAGCAGGCAGAACAGGAAAGGTCTGCTGCACCGTGTGGGTCACCTCTGGGGTGGGGGATCGAACTCTCACTAAGGAGGCTGTGGCTAGCTTGCAGTGCTGCGTCCAAACCTGTTGCACCACAGGGAGGGTCCCCACCAGAGACAGGGGAGAAAAGAAAAGACAAATTTATTGAAATATCATAGGGGAGGGGCGGGCAGGAGGTGAGTAGGAGGTCTCTGCCTGGGGAGAAGGATTTGAGGCTGTGTTTAATACTCTGTTTCTGTAGTATTTATGCCGTGAGGCGCCAGTTTGTACCAATTATCTAATTATCTGCTGGGATGTCTCCCTTTTGGCTTTGACTTTTGACACAGTATGTGTCCTAACTCATGGTCAAGGTGAGGGGTCAGTTCCCATAGTAACGTTATAGATTTCCATTATATAATCAAATCTCACAAACCTGTCTGCTGGGCAAGGTGTAAGGGCTTAGTTTTTGCTGTTACTTTTGTGCCCCAACATTAAGTTAATGATGTGAAGTTCTCAAACAATACCTGATACACACTGATCACTTTGTAAAAACTGATTGTTAGTATTATAGTAGAATTACCAATATTATCTGTATAATTGTGCTATTAGTCATTGTTAAGGTGAGATCTATAACCCACACCCTTAGGTACATAAATGGAAAGTATTTATTTCCTGATTCACCTGGAAATAAGCTTTTCTGAAAAAGATAATATTATTTTAACCATTTTCATGTAATTTAACATTGTTAATGAAATTGATGAGTACATGCTTAGAATGTACACATCAATTCGTGGTTATCAGATATTCTTAACTATCTATTCGTGGCTGTTTTGGTATCACAACATTTTTATGCCATCTAAACAAACTCATGGCTTGCTTTCAATATCAAGAAATAAGCACATCAGATATATATTTGCAATATGGGCAGACAAAAATGAAATATGGGTTCTAGATGGCCTGAACAATTTCTTTGGTGCTTTAAAACACCATGTTAATTTAGAGCCAGACAGAGTGGCGTTTATAAGGGCAGTTAGTAGGGCTGGGGATTTTCCACTGAGTACATCCATTGGTGGTGGCTGCCTGCAAATTCCTGTTTGTCCAGATGTTAGGGACATAGCAGACAGACAGACAGACAGACAGACGCTGGGAACTTATCTTGATCAGGCAGGACTCTAGGCTTATCTCTGGGAACCCACCCGGCCAGCACCTTCCAGGAACAATGGCTCTGGAGGGGACGAGCTGTCTAGTGGGAACTAACTTTCTACAACATTCCCAACAAGAGGAATTGCTCCAGCTTCATCAATTCAGC